GCTGTGTTTCTAATGGCACCCCCACCCCAACCACACATCCCAGAAATAATCTATATTCTTAGTTTGGTGTATCTCTCAGGATTCAATCAGGAAACAGAAACCACATCAATTATTTTACAGAGATAATTTAATATAAGTGTTGCTAACTGGACATAAAGCATTGAGGGAACAAATGAAAGGGATGGAAATGAATGAAACATAAATGCATGGAGGAGAGACCTTCAGAGCTGAAGCTCAGACTTCTGAGGAGAGCTACTCTTCAGCTGGCAGACGGTCTCTAAGCTTAGACAAAGTTCTCTACCAGTCTGTAAACCAGATGTCCTAAGTGTTGTGTGCAGGAGGGATCAGGGGAGAAGCCAGCTAGTGAGGCAAAATTGGTTAATCTATTGCTACTGGAACAAACAGATTGTGATTAGGATAAAGAAGCTGGTTTTGAGTGATGCTGATGGGCATAGGAAGCAGGCAGGGAGGTGGCAAGTAGAAAGCAATGTGTTTCTTCTGCTTGCCCCAGCTGTTCAGTCTTCTGTTAAAGCACCTATTAACAGAAGTAAACAGGGAGATCCAGCCAACAAAGGACAAATGCAGTTTGTAAATTCCCAGATCCAACCCCATAGAGTACACAGAAGTATAGGTTCTAAGTTGGGAGAAAATATCTTGGTAAGTGTTGCACATATTAATATTCCTCTAAGTTTTTAATGCATATGCAGAAATACTCCCTGTCCCTATACCCATACTCCAACACACAGAGCAGAGGCTGAAACAAAACCATAGCAGCATCTGGTAGGAGACCTATACATTTGAGGACTGCACTATATATAGTCTTTCAGTCGGAAGTAATTCATTGAATCATTCAAGTATTTATTTACCAACTACTCTATGTCAGTTACAGTTCTTTTTTTTTTTTTTTTTTTGAGACACAGTCTCACTCTGTCACCCAGGCTGGAGTACAGTGGCATAATCTGGGTTCACTGCAACCTCCGCCTCCCGGGTTCAAGTGATTCTTCTGCCTCAGCCTCCCGAGCAGCTGGGATTACAGGCACCCACCATCAAGCCCAG